GGACACGGCCACAACCCACTCAATAACCCTTCACAGACCCATCCTCAGTCTTCTGGGGGAAACTCCCAGGTACTCCTTCCTCCGCTTATCTTCCTCTCCAAGTTCTGCAGAAAGCCCCGCAGGCAGAACAATGGGATATCAGCACCCTATACCCCACCATCAGTCCTCTGGCCTCACCGAATGTCCTCTTCATTCTCAGGGAAGCTCCAAAAAGCAATTCGGAGCTGGAGCTGCTCAGGCACTGGAGGATAAACTTTCTCCACTACTTCAAAAGGGATGTGAAATGCCACTTGCTTTGCTGACAGCTCCACCAACGGGATCACCAGTCCATCTTTGGAAACAAAGATTAGGGTTGGTGAAAGAGAAAGCAAAATGAAAAGGGCAAGAATTTCTTGACACCACTGCCACAACCTGGGGCCCATCTTCACTATGAAAGAAAGGGTAGAGTTGGAACTCTTAACCCTCAAAACTCCTTCTGGGGAAGGGGAGCTGGGAAGTTCCCAGGGTACAGGCTGCCACCTCTGGCCCAGAACAGGAGATGCCAGGGAATTCCCAGGAAACTCCTGGCCAGACACGTGCGTTCCAGGACCATAGCAGGTAATCTGCTCACATAGCTTGGCATCAAATTTCCCACATACCCCAAGCACTTTAGGTTCATATTACACTGTTAACGTCTCTCCTTTGGCATTCTCCTCTCTGACTGCTTTTTTGCTATCCTTTCATCTCCAGGTGACTGCAGGCCCCCATCAAAGAAGGGAAGACAGGCCAGAGCACAGGAAGAGTTAAGCCGTGACCTCAAGAAACAATACAGTATGCACTTTCTCTGCCACCCATAAACCTTGACTTCATACCCTGGAAGCCCCAGAGGGGAGAGAGCTATGCCATGGGCCCTAGCTGCTGCTCCTAGAATCGCCTGGTTTGGTATGATGGAGTTAGCACTCCAGAAAGTTTTCTGCACTCTTTTACTCCAAAAGCAGTGATAAAAAGATGGACAGCACACCACCCTAATGGTCACTCAGACTGGAAGACAGATCAGAAAATTATAGAAGTAAAAAAGAACCTTAAAAAAAAAGTTAACCTGTTTAATAAAATAATTGAATATGGCCACAGAGTAGGTGGAGGGGGTAGGGCGGAAATGGCAAGTTTTCTCAGATTTTAACACGTTCAGGAAGATATCAATATGTTGAAAATCTTCCACTATGACTTCAGTTACTTCCCCCAAAGTGAGGGAGCTGTAAGCTTCACAGCCACCCACACATGCAAATATGAAAGAAGCAGGGAAGCCAGAGAAGACCTACAGTGAAGCTGCTTGTGACTGGTGTGCGTGTGTGTGTGTGCATATTCAAAGTGTGTACTGCATCTCCAACTAAGACGAAAACTACCACCAAAAAGTGACACATGTAAATTTCTCTCTGTACCAAAGGGGTACCAAAAATGTCCACACTTGGAAAACAGCACACTTAAAATGGTGTGAACAGAAGTCCCGCCCCCTCTGAAGAAAGTCAACTTCCACTAAGACCCAGGACAAAAACTGCCATGAGCAAGACAGGGACAGGATTTGATGAGCCCCAGGCCTGTGGAGCTTCTCTTACATTCTCCTTTCCATCCCCTCTAACAAAAATAAAATGATTCATTGCACTCATCAGTTATTTAACTGAAAGACCCAAGGATAAAAGAAACTCACAGCAAAGATCAGAATAAGTGTTGCATGAGCAATCCCAAAGGAAATTACCCAGATTGGAAATCTAAGGCTAGTCTCAGCCGTGACTTCTGACAGATCTTCAATATAGCCAGAAGCAAACCTCTGGTCAAGCCCTATGAACTAAGGAATCTCCTCTCACAGCTAGTTCACTTCCACTTTCCTCTGGATGCGATCTTTTCTTGGAGCAGCTGGGATCAGAGTTGAATGTCCCAAAGCAAGTTCTTTTGCACTTTGCAACAGCGTGACACACCTCGAGTGGTCACTTTACAATTTGCTCCTTAACCACATTCTTCTTTGCCTACTCTCTGGTTTACCAAAGGCTGAAATCAATGAAGTATTTTCAGGTTAGAGAACCGATTGATTCTCCTCCCTCGTTCCCATCTCTAAGGCAAAGTAACAACAAAAGATCCTGGTGTTCAACCCAGGATTTCCCTGCCACAACTCACATAAAAAACACACACACACACACACACACACACACACACACACACACGCTGGCCGCTGGCGTGGAGAGGCCAGCCCACCCTGGAAGGGCCAGAAAAGTAAGTCTTGAAGTCCGTCCTAAACTCGGGACAGCTCCCTGTCCCGAACAGTTCCGACCAAGGCCCTGATAGGGCCTGTCCGCCCCCCATCAGGCCTCCTCACCTCGCATTCTGGTACCGCCACTGCCACCTCCGCCTCCACCGCCGGTAGGGGAATTGGGCCCCGCTGACTGTTTGCGCCATCCCCGCCAGTTCTGGCAAAGGCTCTCGGCTTCGGAGATGAAGGAACAGAGTGAATCCTCCTCAAAGCGGTCGGAATCCTCGAATGAAAAGCGCTCCCCGTCCTCCCACTCCGCGAACATCAGCTCCATGGGGCCCGCACCCCCCCGGGCCGGGTCCCCCCCCGCGGATCCGGGGCC